ATGACTTCTACTGATCCTCCTAGATTTAAAGCTAGGCTTGTAGCAAAAGGTTGCACCCAAAGGGAAGGGATTGATTTCAATGAAATCTTCTCCCCTGTAGTCAAATATAAAACTATTAGGATCATGCTATCTATAGTTGCACATCTAGACCTAGAACTAGAACAATTAGATGTAAAAACTGCTTTCCTGCATGGTAATCTAGATGAAAAAATCTTCATGAAACAGCCTATGGGTTTTATTGACAAAAACTATCCTAAACACGTTTGCCTGTTACACAATTCTTTGTATGGGCTTAAACAAGCCCCTAGACAATGGTATAAAAGGTTTGACACCTTCATTACCAGTATAGGATTCAAAAGAAGTGAGTATGATAGTTGCTTTTACTATGATTTAAATTCTGGTATGCCTGTGTATTTACTGCTTTATGTAGATGACATATTGCTAATTAGTAAATAAAAAACCAGAATAAATGACTTGAAGTCTAGGCTAAATTATGAGTTTGACATGAAGAACTTAGGTAGTGCTAAAAATATCCTAGGGATAGTCATTGACAGGAAAAGAGAGGACTGTGAACTAAAACTTCAGCAGTCCTCATACTTACTGAAACTGATATCCAGATTTGGAGTGTTAGATTCCAAGCCAGTATCCATGCCTTTAGCTAGCCATTTTACACTGAGTAAGACACAAAGTCCCAAGACTGAATCTAAATTCATTAAGATGGAAAAAATACCTTATACCAATGTGATAGGATCAATCATGTACGCCATGATTAGCACTAGACCTGACCTATCTTATTCCATTTCACTTCTTAGTCGTTTTATGTCCAATCCAGGTATAGAACACTGGTTAGCATTGAAATGGTTAATGAAATATATTAATAGTACAATATATGTTAGGTTGGAATATAAGAAAAGAGGAAACTCACTTGATCTTGTGGGGTATGTAGACTTTGATTTTGCAGGAGACAGGGACACAATGAAGTCTACCACCTCATACTACTTCACATTGGGAGGAAATTGCATAAGCTGGAAGTCCTAGCTTCAACCCAATGTTGCACACTCCTCCACTGAAGCAAAATACATTGTTGTAGCAGATGTATTCAAAGAAGGATTATGGCTTAAGGGGGTTCTATCTGAGGTGGAGCTGATTGATGAGAAGACAGTAATGTTTTCGGACAGTCAGAGTGTAATTCACCTGAGTAGAAATCCAGTCTACCACGAAAGGATGAAGCACATGGATGTTAGATATCATTTTGTGAGGGATTTAGTGGCTAAAGGAATCATAGACCTGAAGAAGATATCAACTAAGGACAATCCAGCTGACATGGGCACAAAGGTAGTAACTGTCACAAAGTTCAAACACTGTTTGAACCTGCTGTTTATAAAATAAGCAGCAAAATAATAAAGCTGAGAAGGATTCTTGGGAGGAAGCTGCACTAGAGAGAATTAGATTGAGCAGTTTGGTTGTGTTTGTGTTTTTGGAGCTTCAAGGTGGAGAATGTTAGAGTGAAGTACACAAAAATGTTGCCATTGTACCTTTAGTGCAACGCTATCGTTTTATTCTAGTCATCACAAAGACAAAATCCAAACCATTGAAGGACATTAACATCTGACAGCCAGGATCTACTTTCCCCAAAACAGAATGAAAAAACGACCTCACCTTGCTGCTGCGTTTTAGTCTGCTCGCTGGAGTTTATTTTTCAGTTCGTGTATTCTGTGTAAAATAGGTTCTGCTCTGTATTGTTTCTTGCTTGACTATAATCTTTGTGTGGTTGGTTGTAATCACTTGTAAGGGCTGCGTTTCCCTTTGAGTCTTGAGGATCTATTTAGAGTTCTCATAGGAAAGATTCCAGGTTATTGTGAGAGAGAGATAAATTGTTTAAGAGTGAGTTTGGGGTGTAGAATCTTTTTGTATCAAGTTGTATTGATTTTTAGTGCAACGAGCTCCTGAGTTTCTTGAGCTCAACGTGGATGTAGTTTATCCTATATAGGATAAGTGAACCACGGTAAAAATATGTGTCTTTGTTCTTGATTTCTTTACATTTTTCGCTTGTGTGTGTTGAGTGTGAAATTGGTGGATGTTTTTGAGTGTTAGAAGTGCAGATTAACTCTACAATTATGAACCATCAAGAAAGGTTTTCCGTTCTACCCATTGCTCCAGATAATGCGACAACTGTGTTGGGACTATGGCAACAATGTAACACACGATTTGTCCATGATCTTTGCATCAATTCTCTTTGGTTTGTTCCAGAAAATTTTGTTGAAGATAAAGGTTGATTTGTTTTTACAACCCATATTTCTAAATTTATTATTAGAATTATATTTTTGGCACTTTTTATCATAGTTTGAAATAGAGGTGGGCATTTGGGACTGGGCCCAAAACCCGGTCCTTTTGGGACCAGGCCTAAGGAGGAGGGCCCGGGCCTGGGCCCAAAATTTTTTACACGTTTTAGTCCCTTGTATAATTGCATAAAACCCCTTATAAATTTTAAAATAAACATAAATTATGAGGGTTAAAAGGAAATTTTATAAAATTTATTAAAGAAAAAATCTTCCAGGCCTAAAAAATTTATAAAATTTATAAATTTTACCCCTAAAAAAATACTAAAAACCCCTTACAAAATTTTGTTTTGCCCCCGAAATATAAAAAAAAATTTGAGGGGGGGAAAATAAATTTTTTCAGGCCCATAGGACCGATCCTAGGACTGGTCCTAGGCCCATAGGACCAGTCCTAATGACCGGTCTGGGTCCTAGAGTTTCTCATGGGCCTGGGACCAGTCCTAGGCCCATGAGCGACTGGTCCCATTTTGGACCAATCCCAAACGGGCCCAAGACTGGGTCTGCTTGGGACCTGTCCTTGCCCAGCTATAGTTTGAAACTAGATCATGGATACCTGTTTGCATTATCAAATGGACACTTAAATCAATTTTTTTTATCACATATACCCCTTTGTGCGAACACTGTGTAAGGTTTGCAAAACACTTTCTTATAAACTCAAAGTTACCATTTTACTCATTTACCACAAACGAAAACATAATGAAGTTAGGGTAAAAGGGTATCCATGTAAGGTTTCAAATTTTGAGGGTGGTATATGATAAAAAATGTGAATTGATATCTGAATGATAAATTTGAAAACCTTAAGAGGGTGTTTGGTTGGGGGTCATGTGGGATTACTGGAGTTATGTTATCTTATATTACTTGATTACCACGTTTAATTGTCAATTAAGTAATATAAGATTCCGGTAATTTTCAAATACCAATAGTAGTTATTGTTGATAATAATAGAGGTAATCTGATTACCTCCATTTTCTTAGGTATTCTAAATTACTAGGGTAATTTTTTTTTTTTTTTACAATTCTATCCCTTATTAATAAAATTTCAGAACAATAATGCCATTATTTTTAAATTTATTTATATGAATATAGCTTTTACCATTTCACCCCAATTAATTAACTTTTTGGACAAAATTACCCTTGAATTCAAAACAAATTGCAACCCACCCAAGCCACCACCCCCACCCACTTGCCGTGGCTAGCTGCTACCGTCACTGGAATGACGCACAGAAGGCCGAAAATGGCGGCTGTGGGCCAATATGGATGTGACCAGAAATGGTCATATGGGGCACAGAAGCCATTTCCTGCCTTCCATGCACTATTAGGTTGCCTGTTGCTGACGGTCTGCGGTAGTTGCCGACGGCCGGCAGTGGCTGGGTTGGTGGGGGTGCTTTGTTGATTTTCTAAACTTTTATTATGGGGTTGTTTTTGCTAAGTTTTTAAATACAAGGGGGTTACAATAATCCAAATAATAACCAATATTAAAAAATAATATAATAATAATATTTAATTAGAGGACAATTCAGTAATTTAAATAGTATACCCACCAATTTATTCCTTTCAACCAAACATATTAATATAACATACCCATCAATTAACCAAATATGTTTTCCTAAAGATTCTCAGTAATCTAACTTTCTAGTAATCCAACATTCTCTAAACCAAACGCCCTCTAAGGGTAGTCTATGATATTATCTTATAAGAAAATATATTTAAATTAGGTCGGTCATAAAAGACAAACTATTTTATGGAATGCAAGGTTTTAAAACCCAACCCGGGGGGTGACCCGTTCAGGCGACCAGGTCACGGTTTAACCGACAGTTTAACCAATGGTTTGACAAATTTAAAATCTAGCAAACACACCCCTAATAAATACCATCAGACCCTATAGGTTTAAAATCTAGCAAACACAACCCCTGGCCAAATCAAATCGGCGATCGACTGGGAGAGCAGCAACGACACACCAGGGAGGGTAGATTGGGTGATGGGGAGGACTAATTAGCAGTTGGCAAATTGAGGCATCGCCGGAAAGTGGCAGATTGGTGGTGGAAGTCAAACGGTTGTAGTGGCTTTTTTTGGCGAGATGACTATGGATCTTCGTGAACGACAACAAGGGAACTTGGGAGAAGGTAGATCGGTGGCTGAGGAGGCTTATCGATGTCAGAGAAGGCGCGATCGACGTTGGGAAATGGAAGAAAAATTGTTGGATGACAAAATATCGCGCGACGGCAGGAGATGAAGCATCATAGCCCCAAAGAAAGTCAGAAGGTGGAAGGTCACTGGAAAAGGGGAGGTCATCGCCGATTTGCATTTGGCCAGAAGGTGTGTTTGCTTGATTTCAAACCTTCAGAGACCAATGCGTATTAATAAGAGGTGTGTTTGATAGATTTTAAACTTGAAACAATTGAAAAGGTAACCTGACCCGGAGAAGGTCCCGGGCCCAGGTTCAACCAGTTGAGTTAGTTCGGGTTTTAAAACCATGATGGAATGTAAAGAGATGTGAGAGTATTTTGGTAATTGATGGATTCTAAAAATGATATTTTTAGACATGCAATAAATATTTTTTTAGACATGCAATAAATATTTTTCTAAAAGAAGGTTTTTAATTTAAAAAACATTTTTTNTGGTTTTTTATTTTCTGTTCAACTTCCATAGTCGACACACTTCTATCATACATTCTGTTATGAAGATTTCAATCTAAAATTCACTGCAGTAGTTAATGGATTCTGTTGTTGACAATCATTGATACGTTGCTGTTTCTATGATATCACCAGGATTACATGCATTTGATATCACTATCTATATAACATCAAATGTAGACACTGCATGCTTTATTGTGGACATTTACAGAAGGTCCATGCCTACCGGCGTGGATTTGTGTATAGAATTTTATGACTTCATCTTCTAACCTCTGTTGCATGATGATGATTCTTCAACCAGAGTATTTTGTCCATTCCTGAATGATACCAAGATCATCATAGATATTCTTGAAATCACCAGAAGACTTACCTTGAAGCTTATAATACTTATCACAAACCTCATTGTAAGAGAGGTGTGTATTTAAGTTGGATGAAATTTATTATCTTAAAGGGCCCCACACTGCTGTCATTGCTTGCATTTGATGTACTAAATAAGATTGTTAAAGAAATGTCTTTTGCTAATGTAATTTTTGTCAAAAAAGATTAAGAAAATATATGGCGTGTTCGATTTTATGCATGCAGTATGTGATATTTTGTTCTTTGATATAATCACAATAATGATAAAGAGAATGTTAATGTTGATCTCTCATGTGCAGAAAGCCAAGCCTCAGAAACTTCGGATGGATAGAATGGGATAGCACTTTCATTGGAAATTCTGGAGGATTTGGTGGAAGAAGTATGCCACTTTAGTATCTGATTCTAATACTTGCCAGTTTGATAAAGCTAATTAGTAAATATATGTAATAGATATAATATGTATGTTCAAACTGTGTATAGAAGTAATTAATGGTGATTGCTTGGAGTTTACTTTTTCTATTTTCATATTTGAAGAGAGGGGCTTTCTTAGAGTGTCACATACCAATTTACTTAAAATTCGAGCATTTATATTACTAATATATCCATATTAATAGGAGGTTTCATGCTATGTCAATTGTACTTAAGTAATCAGGTGTTATTTGATTTGAGTCAATACGTTTTGAAGTTTATTTTCAAATCACAATATTTCTTTAATGGAGTTTGGTCTTTAATAAAATAATCTTTTATTAATTTATATAAGTTATATTTCACAAATTCTAGATTGTAAGATTAAATGTATCAATGACCCTCGAATGGTGCAAGCCGGGGAATCCGTCTCTCCTTGTCACAGCTATACACTTTTGTCTGCCCAATTGGAGCAAACCAAGTAGCAATGGAGGATGGTGCAATCATTGTTTTAAAACCCGGATTGGAGGGCAAGCCGTTTTGCTATCCGGGTCACGGTTCAATCGGTCCAACCGGTTGGACCGATGACGTCAGCAATATTTTATTTTTAAAAAATTACATATTAACCCTTTAAATCTCAATATATTACAAAAATTCTCCTAAAAAAGTTCAAAGTGGTCCCTAAAATTTTTATTTATTCCAAAAATGCCCCAATAAAATTAGCAATTAATCTCTAAACTTTTGATATATCTTCAAAATGCCTCTATAAAATTACAAAGTAAACCTCATAATTTTAAAATATTTCAAAAACCACCCTGAGACCTAAACCGGACCGGAGAAGCTACCGGTTCTCGGTCCAACCGGTTCGACCGGCCGGTCCAGTCTGGTTTTTAAAACAGAGGGTGCAATATCAGTAATAACTGTAAATTTACTATTGATTTAATTTCATATTTCTTGAGATTAATTTGCTATAAACTTGAAAGCAAAAATATTTACTAAAGTTTCTAAAGTAAATAGAAAAAAAAAATACCCTTGAAATGTGTAAACAAGGCACATAGACCTTCGACATATAAAGTATAAACTTAAACTCAGTCATAAATGCAAGTGATTAAAATTCTCATAATTCCCTTTTGGACTCAAACTGTGCAAACTAAGTTAACGATATAAAAATAATTGCTTCCATCAAAATAAATATAAAAATAATTGAAATGAAATGTATTCAACCACTAATAGCTTCTTCACTGCTTATACATGAAAATTACAATATTATCGTAGTATGACTTATATCAAAATCAATGCTAAACATACTTAAAAAAACCACTAAAAACAAAAATCAATACATATATCAATGAAATAAAACCATAACCTGCGCCAACATGAGTTGATCCAAAGGATCATTATTAAGGCCATTATATGTAACGCCCCGCTTGAGGTACGTTGTTATTGTTTCCTCTTTCGCCCTTAATCGAGTTGGTTTTTGTTATTATTGTTTGTTTGAGTGTTATATTGAATGTTGCCCTGAAATTGGTTGAAAATAGAAGAATCTTAGTGAACCAAGCTTCGCCGGGGCGAAGAAGAAGAATCTTCGCTGCGGCGAAGATGGGTTGAACCAAGGGTGAAACTCTCTGGACGGTTCGCCGCGGCGACATAAGTTTCTTTGCCGCGGCGACGGGGGGCGATTTTCATGTTGGTTGAGTTTTAGCATTTTCTTCCTAAGGTTAATTGACCTTTCTACCCCTAATTAGCAGGAAAAGTGGGGAGTTAACTGTAAGGATTTTTCATGGAGAATGTGTTGATATGGGGGTGAGTTTGTAATGAATCAAAGGATATAGATGGAATTCCCAAAGAAGAATAAGGGCAAAATGGGAATGAGTGTGTTTATATCTCTTTAAAAGGAATTAGAATCAAAGAAACCCTATTCTTCTTCTCCAAAAACGCAACCCTTCATTCTTCCTCTCAACTTCTCTTTTCTTTTGATCAAGGATTTCCAAGGGATTTTGAAGGTGATTTGGGGTATAGAAAACAACCTAAGGTTCTAAGGTAAGGATTTCTCCTTAAGTTGAGTGATTTGTAGATTTTAGTTATTTTGGTTTTGAGGGTTTTTTCTTTTGGTTAAGATTAGAGGGAAAGTCAAGTTAGCAAGTGAAAGGAAGAATTTGTGAAGTCTCTCCATAACAAGGTAAGTAAAACCCAACCCAAGTTGAGATTATGAAATTTCTTGATTAAGGTTTTAATAGTAATGATGTATGTATGAAATACATGTGATATGCCATGTATGGATGTATGAATAGAGATTTCTATGCTTTGTGAAGGTTATACCTTGTAAAATGAGAAATGGGTTGTTGGATTGACAAGGTAGTTGAGATGGAATTGAAGGGGGTGTGAAACCCTTTTTGGAAGTGTGTTGTTGACAGGTTATTATGACTTTGTGAAGGGGTTTTTCCCATTTGGATGGTTAGGAAAGTTTAGATTCATGGCTATGATAGAGTTTTATAGTGCACATGAGTTGTTTGATGAAATGCCTAATAGAGAATTGAGTGTGAGTAATGAACCTTAATTTTTGCAACATTGCATGTTGGCATTTCACAAGTGGCATTAGTAGAGATGAATCATCCATGGGCATTGTTATATGCATTGACAAGTGAACTAAGAAAAAGTAGGGAACTTTGTGTATGAAATACCCATGAGTAGAGAGCTTAGTGGGTAAAATTACTCTAAGGGTAGAGAGCATTGAAAAATGTACAATAGAATGAGTTAGAGGAGTAGTATAGTGGGGATGAGCTTTGTGATCATCACCCGACGTTATGGGAATCGGATTGATGCTTTGTGATCATCATCCGAATAGCCTTGGAGAGATGGGTTGATGCTTAGTGATCGTCACCAATGAGTATAGGAATGGGTAGATGCTTTGTGACCACTACCCGATTGTTAAGAGATATGTAGGTTGATGCTTTGTGATCATCATCCAATGGCTAAAGAAGTGGGGTGATGCTTTGTGATCATCACCGATAGTGACTAGAGATGGGTAAATGCTTGGTGATCATTACCCAAAATTCATGAGGAACGGGTAGGTGCTAGATGATCTCTACCCGATAGTTAGGAGGAACGAGTTGGTGCTTTGTGATCCTCACTCGGTAGTCACTAAGAAGGGGTTGGTACTGTGTGAATTCCACCCGATAGCCATAGAGAGTGGGATGGTGCTGTGTGAACGCCATCCGGCGTCACCTCCGGTAGATGAGGCCATGATGTTATTAGAAACAGAAATAGAAACAGAATTCGAAAAGGAAAGAATTAAGAGTCACACACGGGGACAGACAGTTAGAGAGTTTTACTTACTGAGCATTATTGTGCTCACCCCGTTATTTTCCTTTGTGGATGCAAGGTTCTAGGTGTTGATGCGGTTGGAGGGGCGTCGGGCGCGAGAGGAGCAATAGCTACACTGTTCCCCTATTTTGTTTTTAAAATGCACTTTTGTAAACAGTAACCTTTGTGATAAAAGACATGTGAATTGTAATGAAAAGAAACGTTTTGGGCCCAATTTTCCATTGTTAATTGCATGCATTGTACTAGTTTTCATAGGTGTTACATTTTTGGTATCAGAGCAAAGATTTTGGATTGAACAGTGTACTATTCTCATCGCCACGACGTCCTCTAAACGACCGTGTGAGTAATTTTCCTTACAGTAATTGTTTCTTGGTTCATTAGTGTGATCATTTTGTAGATGAGGCGTAGTTATCGAAATCGCGGTAAAGGTGTGGTGAATGAAGGAGAACCTTTAAACCACCAGAGTCTACGCCCCCTCTCTTGGATGAAGCTAGAATCGGGGAATTGTACAGCAAGTTATGGCTGAAACTCAGGGGAGAGTAGTACCCCCCGTACAAGTACCGTCAGTCACGCCTGTAGAGAGAGGGCAACCGGTACTCCCCAGTACCGAACAGAGTGGAACCGATTTACGGTCTTTCCAGTCAGCATCAGCCCTCAGAGGTTTAAGGGTACTACAGATCCAGTGATAGCAGAAGAGTGGCTTGGGTCAGTAGAGCGAGCCACGGGTTTATTTCCCATGTCAGACGGGAGAAGATCCGGTATGCGAGTTTCTTGTTCGGGGTGATGCCCGAATTTGGTGGGAATTAATGGAAGAAAACTCATGACGCGACAGTGATGACGTGGGGAGAGTTTAGGCAAGAGTTTGAGGCTGAGTATAGATCAGAGGACAAGTTCATGAGAAGGTCCAAGAATTTATCAGTTTACAGCAAGGGACTAGCGCTGTGAAAGAGTACTCAGTGAAGTTCAACGCCCTTGCAAGGTTTGCACTGGGAATAGTAAGCACTCCGGCCTTGAGAAGGGATAAGGTTGTGCATGCATTGAAACCGGAGATAGCCCGGGATATTATGACAAGCTCCAACCCCCTCGGAATTATAGTAAGGCTTTGAGGCGGGGCAATGAAGGCGGAGATTTTTGAGAATAAAATCTTCCCGTAGGATCCTCGAGGGGAGACCAAAGGAGCTACCCTTACTCCCCAGAGAGAGAAAAGCATGAGGGTGTAAAAGGCAAAGAAATGAAGAATCAGAAGAAGAAGTTTCGTATAAACAGAATAGAAAGAGTGGAAGAATAAACGACTCCGGACGGAGGGGTTTCCTCTTTGCCCAAATGCGGGAAGAATCACCCGGAGAATGTCTGAGGGATCAGAGGTTGCTAAGGTGCCGACAGCCAGGGCACATGATGAGAGATTGTAAAGCTCCTCTTACCAACTACTCAGGGTTCAGGGGGCACTGCGAATGCCGAGAGTTTTACTGTGGCACAAGGAGAAGCAGAGGCCAGTCCATCAGCTGTTACTGGTCAGTTATTATTTCATGCAGTCCCTTTTATGCTTTAATTGATTCGGGTGCTACCCATTCGTTTATATCTTATGGGATGCTTGAGAGATTAGGTTTGAAACCTACTAGAGCGACTCAGCCCATTAAGATAGAACTACCCGATGGGGTTAGTGTTGTGACTCAAGAGATTTTGTTGAGAGTCCTTAGTGATCCAGGGTAGAGAGTTAACAGTTGACTTAATAGTTTTTGATATGCCCGATTTTGATGTGATTCTGGGTATGGACTTCCTAGGGAGGTATGGAGTAG